GAAAGATTTGAATTTTTAAATTTGGGCAACAGATTGGTCGTCGAGTTGCTTCATTAACTTTCTTCTCATTTATTTTTTAAATCTATTGTAAATTAAAAATATAAATTTAAAATATAAACATGTTATTTTTAAAATAGATTCGATTGGTCTTCAAAGTAAACCATATTAATTTTGTAAAATCTTATTGTTCCAATTGAATTTTGCACTAGACGTATTATCCCAATTTTAATATAACAATACAAAAATTCCAAGATTTGCTCAGAACTAAATTAATAAGCTGGTTTCATTTTCAAGGAATATAACACTTGAAACTAGTCTGAAGTTATTGGGAATATAACTTTTATACTGTATGGAAATCTTGTTAATTAAAAATAAAAAATTGATTAAAATTGATTACGTATATAATTTTTATTAACGGAAAATATTTACGTAGCTACTCCTTCCAATTATTTTTTTATATATAGAGATGAATATATAAAGTGTTATATGCATACATACTTAGAGTTTTATTATACTTTTAAATAAAAAGTAAAATACTTACTGCAAGTTGTATAACACTTACTAAAATTCCTTTCATTTAACAAAACTTACTTCGGCAAATGCGTAGATCAAACATAATTAATTTTTTTTAATAAATATTAAACAAAAATTAGTATAAAAGAAAATCTCAAGCTTAAGATTTTTCTATCATCAAAAAATAATAAGATTGCTCTTATATACAATAAATATACAAATTCCTGTTTAAATAATTCAAGTTTATTTAAATAAATTCCTTTTGAGAATTAAAAAAACCCATAGGGCACATATGTATATATGAAAAAGAAAATAATGCTGTTATACCAGTTTGTAATGCCAATAACATTTTAATATTTTCATTTTATTATTATATCTGTATACCTATAAAATTTTATCTACATATATATATGAAATATTATCTATAAAAGAATATAGAATTAATTATTTAATCTTAAATTCAGTAAAACAAATAACCATTTATCTTAGAACATAATGCGTTCTATTTGAATAATGATAAAGTATTATTGTATATATACATAAATATACCAAAAAGATCTATTTAATGTTTAATGTCAAAACAAAAAAAAAAAATATTCAAATAGGTACTCGTACATGGAAAAAAAACTTCTTTCCTTTCTCCTAAAATGGATTAAGACAACTGAAATCCAAAAAAAAAAAAAATGCAATTTAAAGCAATTTTTATATATGATTTCTTAGAATAAAAGAAGAAAAAGACATCTGGAATTTTCCTAACTAGGAATTTATGTTAAATATTTTATCAATTGATAAAATATATTCAAATCGTTTTATGAATATAACCAACTTAATCTGGACATAGACAAACATAAATTGCACTTTTATTTCATACTCCAGCTAAAAAGATAAAAAAAAAATTAAAACATGCAAAAAAAAAGAAATTTTGTTATATGAAAATCAATACCATCTAAGTCTGGGGTATCAAAAGAAAAAAAAAGACAAAAAGACTGGAAATGTAAAGATGCGCAAATTAAAATAAGTTCACGCAACGCATAATTAGATTTTGTATACAATATTTATTTCCATAAAATCTGTGGCCCCTGAATTACACTTTGACTTTTTAATTGAATTACGACTATTTATGTTCGAACAAATCACTTAAAACAATAAAAAGAGCCTACTAATATCTGAACTAATTGTAAATTTTTCAAATAAGTGTTATACATTTCTTGATTATCTTTGACAAGCATTAATTGCGAAGTTTGCTTAATTTCGCAAAATTTTTGCAATAGAAGCTAATTAAGTTTAAAGTGATTAAAGTCAAAACAATCAGTGGAAGAGTGTTTTTAAAAATTCAGTTCTAGAATAATTTTAATTTGTAGTACAGTCAAAAATTGTACTCTGCACATTCTGAAAATAAAGGCTTTTTGGAATTTACTCACGATACGTAAATTACGTTCGAAAATTCATTCCATAATAAAGAAATGTCAGAAATGTAGCAGGCATCTGGTTCAAATTTTTTCGCTAAATTAAATAATTTTAAAAATTCAAAATTTTAATTTTTATAAAAATTGGCACGTTTATATAGCAGCTTGAATACTTAGCATGAAATCATCTCGAAACTCAAGCTGCATTTTTCCTATGTCAGTTTAAAAACTCGAATATAGCATTTAACTATTACATTCCAAGTCAATATTAACATATTTCAAGTCAAGTAAAAAAATTGTTTTGATTGACTTGTATGAACTTGCATGGACATAAAATAGGCTTCGGATATGCTGTATGTAAACGGGGTAAATGTTATTTATGTCGTTTTCGAAAAACTGATTATTTAGATTTTATGCAGAATTTTTTGACTGCAAAAATTAGCTGAAATTTTTGCATTCTACTGCCGCTTAGACATTTAAGGTCTAATGTTTAACTTTCAGCACTGCGTGCATAAATGAAACCTTCCCGTCTTGTTATTTGCAGTATGTACTTATTACGATATTATTTCAGTACGATATTGAAGCTGTATGTTAATATTATAATTTAAAATTATATTATGGAACACTCTGAGTATAATTTTTATAATATCAATAAAATTAAATAAAAATATCATAAACGTTATATAAAAATACTGTATTGGTTTCATAAATTTATAAAAAACTTCAAATATTATACACACAATAACTTGCTAAAATAAAGATATAAATAAGCACGCGCAATTCGCGCATTACGTTTTTTATATCTTTCAAGATAAGTTTTCATTTCTTTTTTTTTTTTTATTATTATTGTCTTACTTAAGTTTATTTATTTTTATTCTTTTTGAAATGATAATTTGCATAATGTGCCAAACTAAACTAAAAAAGATATAAAGTTAAAAAATACGGAGAGAAAGATTTCTGATATACAAGTAAAAATATGCACATATCTCCGAGCAAACTACTCTTTTTAATATTATTGTAGTTGATGTAGATATGAGTATGTATATTATATGGATGCGCACAGTCTATACACATTTTTCAAAGCAGAAATGCATTACAAAATATCAACAAAATATCAGAAAAGAATAAAGGTTATTTTGCATGTAAAATGACCCTGAATTCAAAATTAGGATATCTGCGAATAACATTTTCAATAAATTAACATAAATAAAACGCACTAGCTACTCACTTTATATTATATTGTTGTTGTTGCTGTTTAAGTCTCATTTCTTTTCACATATTATTATTATGTCCCAATATTATTTAAGATACATCATAATATATTATATTCAAATGTACTTATACAATAAGGTTTAATGTCGTTGAAAACTAAGAAATTGCTTGCTGGATAACTATTCCTAAAAAATTAGAATTATATATTATATTTTACATACATGCATATCATTGTCAATAAAATTGAAACTTCGACTAAGCAATCTGTATAAAATAAGTCGTTACTTTCGAATTTTTTTCAATTTTCACTATAATATAATATGTATGTTGCGAAGAACATTCTTCTTGAGCACGCTTCTAAAAATTATAGATAACACTGACAAAATCAATTGACAGAAATTAACACACATTAATTCCGCTAGATTGTATCAAAATTTTCTTCTTCAATATTTAAACTAATAGAATACTTTTTACTTTTTATACATACGAGTATGTACATATATGTATAACGGTATTTTCATATAAAACTGCATTAATTTAGAAACTACTTCCAGTTATATAGTGTAGTTTTGTGTTATTATATTCGTTTAATTATTACAAATTTAAGTATGATTACATTCATATAAGAGAAAGATACTTAAACACGCAATAACTTACTTGCCAACTATGAATTCATATTATGTACATTTTTCATTTCTTTTTTTTTTCTTTTTTCAATTCTACCTTGTGTAAAGAGCAAGTGTTTGTTACATACAATTGTATTTTATTAAATTTAAGATCATTGGTTATGTTAAACAAATTTATTTCACCTTAACTGATACAACTTAATCAGGAGTTAAGATAATTCAAGTAACAAAAAGAATAACCACTAAACTTGTATATTATTAACGCCATATATGTATACACATACCGGAATCTATATTTTTTAACACGAGTTATAAGATATTATTTTCATGGATGATAAAAATATGGATGATTTTTAATTTTGGAACGTTATAGACTGAAATATTTGAGAAAAAAATCTACTATGTATTTATTTAATTTAGATAAGTAGGGTGATTGAAATTATATACAATTATTTAGGAAAACGATATAAACAACATGTATGCATGTATTTTAAGATATTGGACAAAATTAAGAACATTATTTAAAAAAAAAATTGATTAAAATAACTTTAGTAAATGCAGAACATAAAACAAGAACAATAAATTTTTTATTTTTACAATCACTCACATATTCTTTAGATTTTTTCTATATATTTAAAAACAAATTATATATGTATGTATACAAATATGTATTTTTAGATAAATATAATGTAAAATTATATTTAAATAGTGGGACCATGCAAAACAACCAAAAAATTGTATGTAAACTTATGTTTTCATTAACGTAAAAAAAAACGTCGAAAAATTTATTTTGATGTCCAAATTTTATAAATTTTATCTCTTAAATTAAAAACAATATTAAAAAATATATATATCTACATATACTCGTATTGTATGAAAATAATATAATGAATTTACATTTTGAATCAGAAATTTGTAAATGTCAAAATTCTGCCCAAAAGTATACAAAATTTTTTAACTAAACAAACTACAACATTACGATATTACTTCGATGTTACTGAATACGAAACCTATTGTCGCGATACTTATGTAGTATATGTTACCGAGAATTATACATTACACCGAAATTCCGTATTATTTGTACTTTTATAAAGACAACCATTAACTTGTGCTTGAACGAGAAATTTTTGATAATTTACTTATGCTTTCATTTTTAAAATTTTCATATATTATTTCTTAAATATTATTACAATTAAATACAATTACACAATTACATTTTAAATTAAACAATTTATTTACTCACTGGTGCTCCTCAAAAAAATAGTTGTGTAGTTAAAAAATTTGTTTTCTTCTGTATACCAATATAAACTACGTATGTATATGCACAATGACATTATGTGAATTTCAACAAGAATCATATATTCATATACTGAAGGTTTTAAATTAAATCGTTAAAGTTTTTCCAGTTATACTCTCAAATCCGCAGAAACTGAATATTTTATATTTGAATATTTGTAACATACGCGGTAAATGCTTTAATATCCAACATTTTTCTATTTTGCTCTTCTAATTTACGATATTTTTGCAGTAGTTATAAAAAATCTTAAAAATTCCTTTAGAACTTTAAGCACCACTGTTATTTTTGCAGATTTTGCAGTTTAGATTTATCAAACGTGCTTTATATTAGGACCTAAAATAGAACTGAATGATCGTAAATCCCTAGCTCTTTCAGCTAATTTTTTATTCACTCTTTCACTTAAATTTTCATATTCTTATAATTTTTTTTTTCATACTCTTTTTCACAAAATTATTTTCAGTCAAATTTTTCGATATTTTACTTTCACAATATTTTATTTCAATTCAAAACCTTCAGTAATCGTTTCTCTACTAGCCATAGAAATATCTCCATATGCATAAGTCCCTTTTAATTTGCTCTTATAATAATTATTATTTAATAAGAGAAAAAGTATTTATTACCAAATAATAAACAAATATATGTACAAATTAATTATGATTCTAAAAAGTCACGATTTTATAATGAAAAAATACTTTTATTTTTTCATTATTCCAAAGTTTAACTTTTTAACAATTTAAGAGCAAAACACCTGTACCATTTCTAATTATTTTTAATGTCAATTTTTTTCGAAATTTTTATACTTTAATACTATGATCTTTTTGTAAAACACCAAATTAATAAAACGGTACAAAAATGTTTTTGAGTCATTTTGTCTTGCAATTATATTTAATGAGTGAAATCAGGGTTGCCATTTTGGTATTTTTATATTCAAACTTTCTAAAATATTTTCTTTGGTTTGAAAACATATGTATACATATGTAATTAAAACTTTAATTTTTAAAAAGTTATTCTGTTGCAGTTGAAAGAAAATTTTTACATATGGTCTTTACATTAAGAGCTTCATTTGAAGAAAGATTAATATATATACATCATACAACATGTTGTGTCAGCATTGGATATTTACCGATTCCACTCCGTACAATAAGGGAGGTTATGTGAAGGTACTGGAATTCACATATTAAGCTTGCACTTTTCAGTGATAGAGAATTGCTAAAAAAACTGAGCTTTAAAAATTTTTTTTTATTAAATGTGTTGTTTTTCTTCAAAATTTAAAAAGTGTCTCAAAAATATTTTCGTAATCCTGTATGACACTTTCGCAAAACAAAAAAATAAACATATTTTATTACTTACATGCTGGCCACATCAGTATTTTACACTTTGTGTAATATGGTGTAGCAAGACCTTATTATTTTGAAAAGATTTTTTCTTAACTTTTTTTAAAACGAAAATTATCATTTTTAATTGCTTTGCTTATGGCAACCCTAATTGTAATATAGATAGTGTAAAATAAGAACAACAAAACTTATTTTTTTTTGTTACAAGCATTAAATTTAGAACTTGACCTAATCTCCATTTTAGTTACTTCTTGGCTTTCATCAAAATAATATCATCACTGCATTTAAAAATTATAATTTAATTATTGAAACACTTTATTAAATGTGAGTACATACATACACGCATATATATTTAAAAATACGTGCATTATGTAAGCCCGCTAATAAAATAAATTTTTGAAAAAAAATTTTATATTAAACTTTAAATACAATAATCAATTAAATATTTTATTTTTTTTTAGAAAATTATTAATTTTTAACTTAATATCTTTTGTTTTTTTTTTTTTATTACAGGGCTAAAACTGAAAAAATTTCCACATGTGCTCGTTTAATTTTAATTATTTATTTATTAAATTGTGATAATTGTTTTGCAACCAAATATATTGAATGTAATTCCGATTTAGAAAATCAATTTCAATGTGTTTCAAATAAAAAATGCATAGATTCATCAAAAGTATGTGATGGAAATAAAGATTGTGATGATAATTCTGATGAAAACGATTGTGGTGAGAAATATATAAAATTTTAATATTAAATAATTAAATTTTTTTGCATAGTTACTTGAATAAAATATTCAAATTTTTACTAATAAAGCGATTTAGCTAATAACATGTGGTAGACAAAATATTGAAATTACATAAAAAAGCTTACTTACGTATAGAAATGGTGCTTAAATAAAATGGAGGAAGTGCATTAAACTATTGATTACTGTAAATTTTTTTTATTAAAAATAATGGAAGTTAGCAAATAGCCAAATTTTAATTTGAGAAATCAAAATTTAGAATTTCTTTTACAGAAAAATCACTAAAACACAGAAGAAATTTATAAATTTTTTGTTCACAATTTTTAATATTTGAAAACTAAAACGTTTAAATTTAAATAGTGTTAGATTAGGAATCGCGTTCCGTTTTCAAATATTTTAACTAAAATAGATGTTTTATAGAAATATTGAAATTTTTTGCAAATTAAAATTTTCCCTAAGCTAGGTGTTTATTATGTAAGTATTACCTTAATAAATCTTTAGTAATTAACTTACTTCACTTAATTCATTCAATTTTTGAAAATTGTGTAGAGCATAACATAACGTGTGCTAGGTAGATATTAATTTTTTGTTGGAGATAAAAAACGATTTACTGAAAATACATAAATTCTATGGTTGGTTCCAAATACATAATTAAATTCTTAATTTTACTGTTACTGACATTTTTAGTCATTCCTATATTATGCGATAAGAAAATATGCAAATAATAAAGCTTTCATATGGTGAAAATCATATTGGAAAATTCTCATAGCGCTATAATGTTAATTCTATGTTAAATCACGGTTGTATATTAAAATAACCCTAGTGCATGTACGTGAACCCTAGTGTATGTATGTATGTATGTATATATGCATGTATATATAATATATACACTTTATAATGATATTTGATAATTTTGTCATCAATTTTAATATAGGTTCTAAAAAATGTCAAAAATCGTTTTAAAACCTTAGTGTAACATAAAAGGCTAGATAACCACAGTATGCGATGATTTAATGACATTTAATTTTTAATAATAAAGAAAAAAACAATATGAAATATTTTATAAAAATTATATAAACCCTTTTTATTAATTTTCTCAGATACTTGTCTTGCACCAGAATGGTTTGATTGTAAGGATTCTTTTAAAACATGCATACATCACTCATTTGTTTGTGACGGTCAAGAAAACTGTTTAAATGGCGAAGATGAAGATAATTGCCCAGATAATGTTAAAAAAGTGCCTCAAGTTTGTGGTAAAACTGAATTCACTTGCAAAGATAAAACTTGTATTCCGATGGATATGGTCTGTGATGGAAAAAATGACTGCCGAGATCATTCCGATGAAACAATAGGTTGTGAACACGCTGAATTGACGTGTGAAGGTTTTTTCTGTTTAAACAAAAAATGTTTAGCAAGTCATCAATGGGTTTGCGATGGAATCGATGACTGTGGTGATAATAGTGATGAGCATGGTTGTGGTATGTTTTGAAATAACAGACGTAAATATGTATGTATGTATTACGTAATTTCATATTTTTTCATTTATTTTTAGCTTGGAATTGTAAATTAGAAGAAGGAAAATTTCTCTGTAAAGACAATGACACATGCATAGATTTAAAAAACGTTTGCGATAATACACCACATTGTGCTGATAAAAGTGATGAAAACGGTTTATGTTATAATAAAGAAAGCTCTTGTGAAAAATTTAAATGTCCAAGCGATAGTAAATGCTTTCATTTACCAACTGGGCCAGTTTGTATTTGCCCTAAAGGTTATACTTATAATCATGTTACGCAGAAATGTGAAGACATAAATGAATGTGATCAATATGGAATTTGCTCACAAATTTGTACTAACACAAATGGTTCATATGAATGTAGTTGTTTGGATAAATTTCAATTGAAAAACGACAATAGAACTTGTGCTGTTGAAGGAGGTGAACCACTGTTATTGTTCACAAAACTGGATTCTATTATTGGAATGCATTTACATTCGAAACATGTTTACAAAGTAGCAGAAAATTTAAAACAAGCTGTTGGTGTTGCATATGATGGTGAACGTATTTATTGGACTCATATAAAATATGGATACGAGAGTATTGTTAGAGCTAGAGAAGATGGAAGTAAACAAGAAAGTTTAGTAACAACTGGCTTAGAAGCTCCTGAAGATTTAGCTTTAGATTGGTTAACCGGTAACATATACTTTTCAGATAATATCAAACGCCATATCGCAGTTTGTACAAATCATGGAGATTATTGTAAATCTTTAATTCATATTGATGTTGATTCTCCAAGAGGTGTTGCATTATTTCCACAAAATGGTCAAATGTTTTGGACTGATTGGGGTGAAAAGCCAATGATAGCAACAGCTGAAATGGATGGTTCCAATGTAAAGCAATTAATTACTACTAAAATTCAATGGCCGAATTGTATTACAATTGATTATCCAGCTAAACGTTTATACTGGGTAGAGGCAAAGTTAGGAATTATTGAAAATTCAAAATTAGATGGAACAGACCGTAAAACGGTTCTTTCTGGCATAGTCAAACATCCATATGGAATTGCATTATTTGAAGACAGTTTATATTGGTCAGATTGGTCAACAGAAACCATAAATGTGTGCAACAAACTTAATGGAAAAAATCATGAAGTAATTTTTAAAGATAGTAAACCTATGTATGCCGTGCATGTTTACCATTCATCAATTCAACCAAAAGCGAATCATCCCTGCAAATATAACTCTTGTTCACATATTTGTTTATTAGCTGGCAAAACTGCTAAATGTGCCTGTCCCGATGACATGGATTTGAATTCAGACGGAAGAACTTGCTCTAAAATAAAGAAATCTCAAAAGTTATATGTTAGTGTTAGTAATAATATATATGAAATTGAACATAAAAGTTTTGGTCGGCATAGAGTCACTGGAGCATATCCACTATCGATATATGCTAGTAAAATGGAATATAATAATGTAAACGGAACGATTTTTATAGCTGACAATAAAAATTTAGAAATACTTGAGTTTGATCCAATTAGTAAAGATATTAAAACTTTAGTTACAACACATTTGGGTAATGTGTCAGCTTTGGCTTTTGGTAAGTTTTTCAATTTGAATACCGTGAATAAAATAGTTAATAATTTTAAATATAATTGATGATGTCTTTTAAGATCATTTGTCGCATAATCTTTATTGGGCTGATTCAAAATTTCATACGATTGAAGTTATTTCTTTACAAACATATAAAAGAGCTCTTGTCCATTTCTTTTCTGGGCAAGAAAAACCAATAGGATTAGCTATTAAACCAGAGTTAGGACACCTTTATGTTTCTGTATTTTCACCGAATGGTACACATATTGATACTTTAACAACAAGCGGTCAAACATATCAAACATTCAATGGAAACTTTGGTAAAGGGGAAATACAATTATATGCTCATGAAGATTACCTCTTTTGGCTTGACCAAGAAATGTCTAGAATAGAATATACGAAGTATGAAAATATTTCACGCAAACTATTCCGCAATGATCTTTCAGATCCGCTTACAATGGCTATAGTAGACGACGACATTTTTTGGAGTCAACAAAATTCCGGAACAATTTTTTGGACTCATAAAAGCGGTTTAGGGGCTATTAAGCGTTTAGAAGTTGACCAGCCATTTTTAAATATTCGTTCAAAGCCATCAGACCAAATTTTTGTAACATCAAATAAACAAATTGTATCGGCTTCTTCTGATAAACATAAATGTTTAACTAGAAATGGAGGATGCTCACATATTTGTGTTTCCATTGGAACATTCTCTTCAAAATGTATGTGCCCACCGGGACTTGTTTTTAAAGATCCTTCAAATATGACATGTATTGAATCAATTGACTGTGAATTCCGTTGCACTTCTGGTGAATGTATTACTCTATCAAGACGTTGTAATGGAAAAAAAGATTGTATTGATGAGTCCGACGAAGTTCAATGTGAAGGAAAATTAAAAAAAATTTGTCGATTTGATCAGTTTCGATGTCATGATGGTACTGAATGTATTGAAAATAATCAAAGATGTGATAAAATCAAGGATTGCACTGATGACTCGGATGAACAAGACTGTGAAAAATATAGTAAATTTATTTAAAGCCTTTTAATATTTCGTTTACATACTTACACTTAAATATTGAACAATTACAGATGCAAAAATTAAATGTCGATTCAACCAATTTAAATGCGATAATTCTGTCTGCATTGATGTTACTTCCGTGTGCGATCACTTTAATGATTGTGGCGATAATTCAGATGAAAAGAACTGTGAAGTTAGAACAGATAGCAAGAACAAAAAAGGTTGTAGTAAAAATTATTTCCAATGTTCTATTGGTTCATGTATTCCACATGATTGGGAGTGTGATGGCCACATAGATTGTGTCGATGGATCTGATGAGCATGAAAAATGCGGTAAATTTTAATGTTAATACACCAAAATGCAAATTTTGTTACTTTTATCAATATTATATTGCAGTTATAGCACATATATGTCCAAAAGGCTCTGTTCAATGTCGATCGGGACAATGTATAGATTCGAAGCTTTTATGTGACGGAAATGATGACTGTGGTGATAATTCTGATGAAATTAATTGTAAAGAAGAGAAAAAAGAGAAGCAATCTTGCGGTCATGAAGAGGACGCTTTTGGAAATTTAAAAAAATTTCAATGCACTTCAAATCTTGATATCTGTTTAGATGCATCGGCGAGATGTAATGGTACAGCAGAATGTCCGCGAGGGGAAGATGAAACTGATTGTTCATCTTGTAGCATTTACGAATTTAAATGCCTTTCGACAAAACAATGCGTTCGTAATGAATGGTTATGTGATGGTATAAAGGATTGTGATGACGGAAGTGATGAACTAAATTGTAAAACATCACAAAACAAAACCTCTACAAATGCACAATTTCATCATCAAGATACATCGAATTGCCATGTTGATATGTTTTCTTGCAAAGATGGTTCATGTGTTGAAAAATCTAAAGTTTGTGATGGTATCACAGATTGTACAAATGGAGTTGATGAAGGACCACTTTGTGAAACATCATGTAGTAAAAATAAAAATTCTTGCCAACATATTTGTACGCCAACCCCATATGGATCTGAGTGCAGCTGTAAGCAAGGATATCATTTAAATCATGATAAAAAAACATGTAGTGATATTGATGAATGCCATGCACAAAATCCATGCGCACAAATATGTGAAAATTTAGATGGAAGTTTCCGATGCAGTTGTTATTCTGAATTTATGTTAAGACCCGATAAAATTAGCTGTAAATCAATTCAAGGTAACCCATATCTATTATTTTCATCCTTTGATCAAGCTAGAATTATAAGTGAAAATCCAATATCAATAAAATTGGCATGGTCAGCGAACGATACCAAAATAGAAGGATTAGATGTTGATGTTAATAATTTAAAAGCATATTTCACTTTAAAAGATTCAAGTAGCATATACGAATACAATTTAAATACAACTATTAATGGTGCAAAAAGAATTTTAACTGATCCTGGTAGAAAGAAAAAAATCGCTGTTGATTGGATAACAAAAAATATTTATGTTGTATCTAATACAGGAATAGATTCAATTAAAGTTTGTAATTTTGACAATAAAAAATGTGCAAGAATTATAAAAATGCGTTCACGTGATTCTATAAAATCTATAGCTGTTGATCCGATTAATCGTTATCTATTTTATTCCGTTACATATCTTTCAACATTTGGTCAACCAAAAACAACATTAAATAAAGCAAGTTTAGATGGACAAAAATCCATAGCTTTGCTCTCAAATGAAATGCATATAACAAGTATTGAATTGGATATTTATAAACAAATTGTTTATTTTATTGATTTTCATACAAAAACTCTACAATCAATTGGATATAATGCAAATGATAGCAAACCAAAAATTTTAATTAAAAAAGAAAATGCTATTAAATATCCAACAGGTTTGAGTATTTATGAAAATATGGCATTTATTGTTAATACTGGATCATCGGAAGCGATTAAATGTGAATTATATGGTGAAAGAAAATGTCATGCGTTCAATATTAATGTATATAATGCAGAAGATATTGTTGTTGTTGGTGCATCGCGTCAATTAAAGACGAAAAATTTATGTGAAAAAAATAAATGCAATGTATTGTGTATCCATGCTGAATTAGGATCCAAATGTATTTGTTATAATGGTGAACATGCTCAAGAAGGTGAAATATGTTCCCAATCATTTCAACAACAAACTGAATATAATAGCTTTAATGATGAAGTACAATCTGATCAAATTACATCATCATCAAAAACATCACCAACATTAATAACATTTTCATGCATTACAAGTTTGTTATTAAGTAGTGTGGCTGGTTATATTTACTATCGCAAAAAATATAACCCAGGAAACTTTTCCATTGATATGCATTTTCAAAATCCCTTGTCAAAAAATAATAATTTACTATATAATAATACAAACAATAACAATACAAACAACATGAGCAATCAAGATGATACATTAGGGAATAACAATCATCATCAACAACAAAATTCATATTTTAGCAGTAGTCCATCAGTTTCGACACGTTTTTATAAAAATGATAATAAAAGTAATATTAATACATTAGCTAGTAAATTACCATTATATGGTCCAATTCAGAAATTTTTCAATTCAGACAAATACAATGAGATGTCCATGCAATCTTCAGAAAATAAAAGACAAATTATTGTAAGTACCTAACATATTAAATTTTGATATGTTTCTTAGTTAGTAGTAGATACATGTAACTTTTAAGTATATAGTAAGAAATTTTAATTGTATCTATAGCAAATTTTAAAAATAAATTGTTTCTCTAATACTACATGTATAGACGCAAACATTTACAAATTCAATAAGTATATATATACATATATATAAAAACAAAAATTGAAAATAAAATATAATAATATTGATTTGAAATATAAAATATTTTCAAGTTTAAAGTTAAAATTATCGATTAATTATATTACAATAACGATACCTCATCTCAGTTTAGTATTTGCATATGAGCTATGTTACAAGTTAGTTTTTTAATTAAAATATATTTTTATTACAGTATCAAAAATATAATTTAAAACCATTAATTTGTACATCAGTAACTTCTTTTTTGAATTTTAAAAATCATATTTATATTTCTAAAAAAAAATCTTCTCCAAATACATAGTATTTATTCATATCGTGCTATTCTTGTTGTCATATTATTAAATTATAAAACAATTTCAACAGAGGTGACTAATAAAAAAAAAATTACTTATTATTTTTAATTCGCACATATATTTATGTATATGTTAGACTACAATACAAACGGTTAAAGGAAGAAAATCTTTTACATATAAAACAGGGAAGCATATGGAATCAACAGAACATGAATATGCATCCAGAGATTTGGGAGATTTCGACGATGATCCCAGAACGCAATTAGTGCCATAATAGAAGAACAAAAACCTATTTTTTTTTTTTGTTGAAACTTAGTATGTGATGTAATTGTAAAATACGTAATTTTATGTATACAGCCTGTTAAAAAATAATTTACAATTTAATTTTTATTTATTATAAAAATATTAGCAACAATTTTCATTTAATTTATTTTCACTTACATAATGCACATAAGTTTCTACACAAGTTTCAAATTTTTTAAAAATATTTTAATTGTTATTTACATTAAAATAAGTAAATATTCTAATTAAAAATTTATATAGAAAGCAAATAAAATAATATTGAAACATATTTTACCTACATATTGTAAATTGTAATAAATGAAAATTAAGTTGATCCAAACCAAATCCAATATATTGTTATATAATATTGTTTTAAGAAAAATTAATCTTCTGTACTATTAAACAAATTTTTTATTGCTAAGATAATAATAAAAATTTATTGAATATTTCGGTATAATTAAACATGTTTGGATTGTGTGTAGAAAAAAAAAGTTTTTATTAACTCTTAATCAGTATTGATTTGTTTTTATAAATGAAAATATCAAAAAATTATTTGTTAAATATTATATTCTATTGTTACGTTTAATAAAAATCTTATATTCTTTTTTTACATTGTTAAAATAAAGTAAATAATCATTAAAATCATTGTTTTATTTATTGAACCTCTTTACTACTTATAAATATCGTTAAAGCATATTATTGCTTATTACCTGATCTTAGCTTCTTGATATGTTAATTTATTTGCATCTAATAAGTTATCTTCGTTTGTTATATATTTCACTGCTCGTTGTTTGCAATTCTGCCCATATAAACAGCAATAATACATTAAATATACAAATATAGTTACTTGAAAATTTTCTTGTTTTATTTGCCAATGAATATTAGATTTACACTTCACTTAAATGAAAGGTAGCACCTCCTATATATTCAAGCTTCCTAGTAAAACTTCACCTACACTCAATAATATAACAAAAATACAGCTGTGGATCTAATTAATTTTATCACTTTGTTTATAAAATTAATAAAAAAGTATTTTAATTATATATTTATATCATGTTAATATAAAACAGAAAGTAAGAGTAAAATAATATGACCGAAACAGAACCCTTTTTATCGAAAAACTTTAAAGAAAATATTTAATTTTGTGTATTGTGTTGATATTGCATATTGCCTTGTATTATTTTCATATACATATCTTTGAATGTTACAAAAATCAATTATTTAACAACATAATCCAAAAGTAAATCACGCCACTTTAAATTATTGGAACAACACATGTAAAACAGGAACACTTACATAACATTTACTTACATAAAAACTATTTTCAAGAGAATATTTAATAATTGATCGTAAAGCGTAACTTTGACTATGCCATTTCTTTTCGAGAAATAGTTCTTTCCAAATTCTTCATTTCGTGATCATACAATAATTGTTTAAATAGGCTTCCGTCCGCTGATCGGAAAATTAGTTTATTTCACATGAATTTGTTTGTAAATGTAATATATATTAGGCAACATTTTCTTTTAATTTATAAAACAGTTCTTTCATAAATTTTTTATTAATTTTAATACAATATGTAAAATACATAGACAATAAAAATATTTACCTTAAAAATGACAAAAAAAATTATGCTGAAAACAAATATAATAAATGTATGTATATAATATGTATGTATATGCAATAATAACAAATATCAATGAAAATTATATATACTTTAACATTTACAAATTACAAAAATTAATCCTAAGTTATTATGTGGAAAGTTCTTCTTCTTTTTTTTCTTGAAACTAAAAATATATTATGTAGAGTTATGTATATATAGTAAACCTAATTATTTTGGTATAAGTATAAATTTTTAACAAAAACTTTAAGCAAATAAACAAAAAAAAACTAAACCGAATAATGATAAATAATCCTTAGTGTATGAAGATGCAACTTTTCGATTTCACTATTTTAAAATACAATTTCTTAAGTGATTAAAAATATAAAATATCAAAACATTATAGGATTATCCTTGCACTGTTCTATCACGTATTGCGTATAACGTTTTAGGAACTTAGGATATTCGCGTTTATAGACGGCTCTTAGAACTGTTGCTGGTGCCCAACCGCCTGGATTTACAACTGAACAATATGTTATTTTACATGTAAGGTCATCTCTTGTAATTGGTCCACTTTTATTTTTATCTTTATTCACATATGTGTTACAAACTAATATAACTGTTAAAAATAACCTAATACATTTGCCAGTATTGGCCGGATAATTTGGATGTTCCGTAGAATTATTACAGACAATCCAAGTATCATAAGCTCCTTCATCTTTCTTATCAGTAATTTTAGTCATATGTGACCAAAATAATGCATCGCGCTGGCTAGCTGGCCATACCCGTTTATGTGTTTGCAAAAATATTAATGTATCGGTTGATACTCTTTCAATAACAGTACATTCTTCTAGTGTAGTCTCCCAATCATGACGATATTCAGGGAAAAAAAAGAAATGACACATTTCTTTTGCTGTAACACCTTTAACCATATGACATGCTTTAAGTGGATCAACAACCATACCATTCACTTCTTCTTCACGTTTATACATTTTCATTTCACCTTCATCTGCAAATAATTGCCAGCCATTTGTACTTTCGCCAACACCTTCTCTAGCATAGTGAAGTTGTTCTTCACAAATTCTATTTATTTCTGGCCATAATGGATGATCTACTGGCTTACTTTCTTTATTTAATTCTTCCAGTAATTCTGTATTATCTCCAGGTAGCGAGCTTGATGTACTTGTATGAGATTGTTGGGTTTGAAATTTTAATTTTACTCGTAATTGACGATCTTCTTCGATCTTGTCTAAACCAGTTTCAAGGGCATCAAAAAATTCATCTTCTAAAATAGTGGAATGCGGTCCTTCTTCTAAATCTGGACCAGGATAGGAAGAATTTTTTATTTTTTCCAATTCATCTTTAAATTTTTTACAAAGCTCTTCCACTCGCTTTCTTTTTTCAATTTCTTTATCTAGTTTTTGCTTCCAAAGTTCTTCTTTTTGTGTAATAATATCAAGGCAATGTTGCAAGGTTATCATAACACCAGATGTTGTCGCTTTGAATGTGATTGATTCTCCTTTAAAGTCAACTGGTTTTATCCCGTTTTGAGGAATAATTTTGTCGTTATTTTCCATAGTTGCACAGGCATCAAAATATTTCTGTAGATTTTCTATTTGTCCATACAAAATATCTTTAAATGTTTCAATTTCATTAATTTTTTCTCTTAAATTTCTTTGGGTTCGCTTCAAACTGTTGGTACTTTCTGTTGACAAATTATTAGATTCAATGGAAAGTGTGCTACCATGACGTCTCAAAGAAACATTTTCGGGAGTACTGCTTTCTGTTTTGTAAGATTGTAAAACTTCAATCCAATGAATTTTATCTTCAGGAGTTTCTGCTCTCAAATACCATACGCAATTATTAACAGCAATATCAAATCTGTTTTCATCGAATTCATGACTGGTAATAGTAGCCTTGTGAAGACCTATGGCACCCCGACAACCATAATCGCTATCACTTTCACTTTTATAATACGATAAAGTGCCGTCTTTTAAAACGACATATCGAGGCTGCCATCCGTGAATATAATTTGTCCATTTAGATAAATATCCTCGAAGCTCCGGGGTATTATCTGAATCAGAATCTTCACCACTTGACATTATTTACTTGAAAGTTTGACAGATATATTTCACAATTATTTTATTAACGCTATTAAATTTTTATCAATTTATCAATTCCTTCTAAATTGGACGATTCAATAAAAACACTTCATGTAAAATATTTATAAGTTGGTATATATAACCCAGTTTCAGACCAGCATTTTTAGGCAACAGGAAAAACTTCAATATGCTAAAAAAATTACGTAATTAATAATCTAGCGAAAAAATTTCCATCAAAAAATATATTTACCAAAACAATAAAAAAATGTAAAAATCTGAATAACTTTTAATTTATAGAATTAAACGCAAACCATTTGTAAGGCCAATAGTTCAATATTTTTATTTTGACAGTTTATTATCACCAGCAATATTGTTTGACAAATTCTAAAATTAAGGCTAATCTCCATATTACTTTAAACTCAGGCAAAATTTTAATAAGAGTAAAAGTTAGAAAAATTAAATTTTACTCACACTAGTTTTCATCATGAAACAATATATAATTATGAATGAAAATAACAGAGTTTACAAATATTACATAAAATAACCAAAATTTTCCTACAACAGTTAGTGTTTTAAATGTTTATACATGCTGGACATATGAGAATTTTTTCGTAAATAAACCATTATGCAAATTTTTTCATTTTTGAAATCATAAAATAGCTTGTTTTACCGATATTGAAAATAAAGGAATAATTTCATATCATTAAATTCTCTGAAAACGACTCATATGTAACTTAAAAAAATGTTTGCGACAAACATATAACATATATCTTAAATTGACTAACACCTTAATTGGTATTTTAATTATGCTAATATTAAAATTGTAGCTGTAGTCGTCATAATTAAAATAAAATTTCGATTACAGATTAGTTGATGAAAGGACTTTTCATGTACACACTATATCGCAATATATAGTGAAAATTGGATTATATCTATGTTCATAAAGAAATATTACTCATTTACATTGTTTATAAATTTTGCTAAATTTTAGGAATATAATAATATTATTATGTGTACCGCAGTTAAATCATATGAACTGCTTTAATTTTATAGAACTGTTAAAAATATAACGTATATTCCTCACGTTATTGTTTTTACAGTATTGCATATCTCTTCTATAGCAACTATAGTTGTCATTATAGTCAACTATAATAATTTTTAATAATGACCAACTAAGGTTAAAATAATTTTTAGAGTTTATATAATAATAATCCTTTTAATCAAAGCTTATTTTAATTTTACTTTCGAATCAAAGATGTTTCGAGCTATCTATAACTCAAAACATAGAATATAGCTAATTTCTGAGTGTTAAAATATTTTATTTGTAGTTTATTTCTAAGAAATCAAATTTTTTAACAACCATCTACATTTTGTTTCCGTCGTCATTACAAAATCACAAATTCTTTTGCAATTAAACGGCAGCACTATTTTAAGCTAATAAGTAATAAATTTTGAGAAGCATTGATACCAGAAGTTTGAAAGCAATGGTTTGTCAAGTGTCAAACTCAACATATGACACATCGGCTGAGGCTAAATATTACTTGCTCGGAATAAATAATACATATTATATTGTTATAATTTCAATTTGAGCCCTAACCATGGCAAACTTTTTGCAAGAAAGTCCTGTAAAATATGTATGTTCGTGTGGTATACTTAACCCAATAACGAAATTATATTTTTGTCGGCATTGCCTTAGTTTAAGGTGTGGCTTTTGTGTTTGCCATGAAGTAAGTATGAGAACTTTAAATACTCTTATTTGTATTGAAGTACGTAAAAATCAAAAATTTTTTTTTTAAGGTTGATTCTCACTTTTGTTCTAACTGCTTGGAGAACATACCTTCAAGTGAAGCAAGGCATAAAAAATTTAGGTGCAACAGTTGTTATGTTTGCCCTTCTTGCAATCACACTTTATCAGCAAAAGCAGCTACTGTAACGGTACCGAGGTGACATAGTATAACAAAGTTTGCTAAATATTTTTTACATTTCGATATATTTTTTTTTATAGAAAACAAGATGAGCCAGTAAAAGAAGGTGAAGATCCTAAAACTCAACAAAAGAAAATGTATTTTCTTACATGTTTGGCGTGCCGATGGACTTCGAGAGACGTCGGAATTCCGGATCAAAGTTCTAGTAGTAACAGTTTGTTTACCTTTATTTAAGAGATTACACTTTCTCTTTTCTAGCTACTGGACATTGGCCTGATCTTGAATATTCCAATCAAGCCAGATTTACATCAATTTTTGAATATTATCAAGCAGTTGTTCTTCAAGAAAAACAGGAAAAGCGAGAATTTTGGAGAAGAAAATCTCCGAAGGCTCATAAATATCCTTCACTGACCGTAATACGATAATTTTTATAAAATATATTTCAACACGTTTGTATATGAAAAATTCGATTTAGGATCGCACTGGATTGACAGTCTCGATGATTAGAAGACAAATTGGTTGGAATGACAAAAACCCAATTAAAGCCAAACCAGCATCTATAAGCCCTTCTATAGCATCTGAAGAGGTGCAACAGTTACCTGAAATCGTTTTTACGAAGCCTATTAATTTAAAAAATGGTATGTACATAATCTTTTAATTCATACAAAATGCATTGAACTTGTTATTACGTAGACAAATTTCTACAATAAGTTAAGTATGTGATTCGTTTTATTGGTTTCTAATTCAATTTAATTTTTATTTATAGTAACTACCATTAAGCAGAGACATGGCCAACCAGCTGAGCAACCATATACTGTTGATAGGCTATATCCACAAAGAAAATCTCTTTGGATTAAACGTTCGCTTCGTTGTCGTAAATGTGAGCACAATGTCATTAAACCTGAATTTCATCCTTGTTCAATTAAGTATCGTATTCAATTGTTTGCAAGTTATCATGTTCCTGAAGTTCGTTTGGTATCTTTAACTAATGTAAAACTAACACCCGGAGAAAAAAATCAAGTTATTTTAAAATTTTCGAATCCAACCATGCAAGATATGACAATTACAATTGAAGATTTACCAAGCGAAAGCGAGGAAGCCCAATTAATCGATGAAATAAAACATGATTTTGAAAAACAAGTTCAAATTTCGGAAACAGGGCCGACATCAACTCCAGTAACCTTAGGCACTAGCCTTTCTAGACAACCTTCCTTAAACGAAGAACCGAGACCAGTTGATGTGGGAACAAATACTACTTTAGAAATTTTGGATTCATCATTCATATTAAATCACCGTGACGACTCTGCCGAATTCGATGAAGAGGTTCAAATTGAAAAAGAAGAGCCTGAGTGAGTTGACTTGCGTTTCTCAAAATTTTTTCTGTACAAAATAAATTTATTTTTGCACTTTCAGGTTTATTGTTTGGAGAAAATCAAACAAAGTTTCGATTAAATTAAATTTTACTCCAAATGATGATTTAGAAGTTGGAAACGATGTAATATTAGGATTTACTATACAATACACTTATGTTAATACAGTAACCAATACTCCAGAGAAGAAAAAACCGCAAACTCATGCATTGACTTGCAGAGTATATGTAAAAGTAGGAAGCATTGAGTGAACAAAAGTGTTTATTTGATTATTTTTCATATTACAATTTTTATATCTCAAAAGCAACGTAATCGGAAATAAATGGCTGTATTATTTTTGCTTTTATTATTAATTAAATTATATATAATTCTCAAGTATTATTTAATTTGCAGCTTAATTTATATATCATGTTTATTATTAAATAATGTCGAGGTAATTTTGCAATTATATGTATACTCTCTTAAAACTAATAAAATATATAAAGGAAATAACACATGCATATATTTTTTTCTTCCGATGATTAATCGTATAAATGTGTAAATAATAACCTCGTTATGCATATAATGTTCCGCCTGCAGCGCTTCCTCGAGACCCGAGCTAAACGAGTTGAAATAAATAATTATATTTTTTCATGACATAGCATTTACCATTAGCTTTTTGTTTTTATAAGTTGCAGTTTTGGAAAAATAAAAACCGAAAATTCAAATTTTACGAATTTCGAAAGATTTCGATACAGTCTGTGAACAGTCAGAAAATGGCATTTCTAGGACTTTGATAAATTAAAATTTTTCTTCTAGCGGAACAAGTTTCTAGCAAATTTCCTTTTGTATACAAAATTCTAGCTTTTTATTTTAAAAGGTATAGAGGTAAACATCACGATTGACGGGTAAAGTGAAACAAATAAGCACTTTTTTTCCTATAATTTTTCGAAGTGCTAAAAAAAGTGAAAATTACAAACAAAAAAATTAAGAAAATTCATCAGCTTATTGAAATAATTTTGTTTTGGCTAATTAATTTTTAAAACTACATCTAAATAGCTTTAAAACAAAACGCAAACAGAATTTAATTTTGAAATTTTAAAAATTTAGAAGAATTTTAGTAATTATACTAAAAATCTGAAAAATAAGATTGTCGAGAAACAACTAAAACGTAAAGTAAAATTTTATTACACAGTAAATTTGTTTTGTTATGTAATAGAAAAGAAATGTTCTAATGTTCCTAAAAGTGAACCTGTCCAACAAAAATTTTCAAGTAAGAGGTAGTACCATTTTTGAATTACAGTTTCTTTCTCTAATCGCTAAAAAATGTAATGTAGCCTTTACTTATAAGACTAAAATTATTTTCGTGTCATAAAAATAGGCTTTTGAATGAATTTCTCTATTCGTAGTGACAACCTTTCGATACGGTCTAACCAAATGCAGAGCCATTTCTATGCATTTGCAGAGCCATTTCTATGCAATGCTCACAAATTACCTCATATAACAGTGAATAAAAATTATTATATTGCAAAAATTAATTTAAACTTAATTTACTACTAAATTTACAAAAACAATTCTAGTTTTTTGTTAAGATTTTTGTTTGTACGTACACAGAAGCACCCTGCGAAGATTTTACGCAAAAGAAAAAAGCATTTTCATTGTTTTCAAATTATTATCGTAATCTAAATAAAAAGATTTATAATTTTAAAAAACTTGTAATATTTACATTTTGATAATGTTTTCTTTTTTGTTAAAGAACGCACACCCATTAAAAAAATTTATAAAAAAAACAATATGCAAAAATTTTGGCGTCATCTAAATTTTTTTTAAGAATTAAAATTTGTGCTTTTTAAATAAATATTCAAGTATGTTCTCGAATCTAAGCAGATTTTTCTAATTATATTTAGCAACAATATTAAGGTATTCGTAACTCCATCATATTTTTAAAAATTTTATCTTAAATTGATACTAACGGAAACAAGTGGTTCCTTGTATAATGCTTAAAATTGTTTCGGATCTCAACATCCCATTTCCGATACTTGATTTAAATTAATTTTTGTATTTACAATTGCTTTTCGAATACGTCACAGGTCCTGGAAAATGTTAACAACTTATTGAAACTTATAAGGTTGTTAACATTTTCCTAACGTTATACTTAAAACTTATTAGTTACCTTAAAAATAGAAACTTTATATCTTTGAATAACTAATAATCTTTGAATTATTAATTATAAAAATTTAAGTAAAAACGTACAGTTAGGCACATTTTATCGGAAATCACAACTTTAATATGCAAAATTTTTTTGTGTTACATAAGGTTTTGTACTTAGTTTTTAAACAATTTCGGAAATAAAAAATGTTATTAATAATTAATGTAAAAAATATTGTCCATTGCTTGTATGGTTTCTTGTAGAGAAAGTAAATTTGAAAAAGAACAAGATTTAATCAATACAACGTGAATTTATTAAAGTTAAATGAACTCTTAAACAATACTCATTACTTTCTTACTCGGAAAATTTAAAAATTAATTAATAAACTTAATTTCTGTAATTGAAATAAAATTCAATTTTAAATCAAATTTTTTGTTTGAAAATTTTTAGCATTCATAAAAAAATAAGTATGTATATATTTCGACAATAGCATTAGATTAAGATTCTAGGTGGTACAAGTTACATATAATTTAACTTCAACTCATTGAAATATTAGTTTTAATTCGATAATCTTATTATGTGATTAAGTTTTAATATCATGTTAAATTTTTATGTAAATAATTAAATATTTCTCATATTCTAATGCAGTTTTAATTTGTTTAGCATACATACACAATTCACAGTTCAAACTCAAAACATTTACATACATAGGTATAACAATAGTTATCGATAAAATTATATTAAAATTATTTTTCGAACAATTACACAGATTATTGTTTTGATATAACCACATATGTAAATGTAATTTGGTTTTTATTTCAGGATATTCAAATTATTACAATAATTAATTGTAACAATAATTATGTACCAAACTACTGAAATTTTCATAAGGAATGCTCTTTCATTTTGAATGTCCTATTTTATAATATTGTATAACTAAAATATTCAAGGAGTAATATTATTACAAGAAAGAAATTTTATAAAAACAAGGATTTTGAATAACTCAGTTGTAACTTAGATCTTAATATAAAGTACGTTCGATAAATCGAAACGATAAAATTTGCAAAAATAACATGTTCTCGATACGTTTCTTGGACAAAAACAGTATGTTCGAAAATGACAGTTTTGACTTAAAGTTCGAAATGAATTTGTCGTAACTACGGCAAAAATATTATAAATAGAAAAATATTGAATATGGAAGAAATTCTGGAGTAAGTTGAGTATAATTTTTGTGCCATTTTATAATTAATAATTTTAAGTTCTCAGACAGATATGGAATTTTTAGTTTTGCTGTTTGATTGTTTATTTGTATCCATAAGTTTAAATTCCAATCGCATACACATGCAATTCTATTATCGCATACTAACAATTTAATAGTTAACCCAATCGATTTGATTTGACACAATAGTTTAGATTTTTAGATATTTGCCTAAGCCCTAAAATTTCGTCAAAATTAATATTTATTAATACTATAAAAAGATGACAAAGTGCAAAGCTATAAGTAACAAATTTTTCAAAATGCGATTTTTTACACCAATACTAATCTCGAACGATCCTCTTTGTTGGAGAGATAGGTGTGATTCAAATGGCTTAAGTAAAAGCTCAAAGTAGCAGAAAAAAGCTAAGGGGTTTCTGTTACAAAAACCTATAGCAAGTTTAATGTTATTATAGCCATTTTATGCTAAGTTCTCTCCTTTTCCTTTTGTGCAAAAACTCAAATTTTATTTAAAATTTTTAAAACTTTACTACTAATTTAAGTAGTTTAATTAAAAAGACAAATAAACAATTAAAATTAAATTTTAAAAACGATATTCTAATAAACAGGTTTCTTTTCGCAAATTTGGAAACTTTTAAAACGTTCTCCTGCAAAATTTTAAATTTACTACTTAGCATATCTTTGCGCTTCATTATCGATATGTAAACATATGCGTTTTAAATAGAATTTTTTAAGTTAGAAAAAAAAATTACAATATGAAAATAACAAAACATGTCTAAGAAAAACATATTTGAGAAAAATGTGTTAATTTTATCTCTTAATTACTATGCCAGCAATTGTTACAGAGTCTATGACACAGAAAGATGTTAAAGTAATTTACAATTTAATTGCATTCTAAAGATTCAAAAATCAATATTTAGAATAATCAATATTCGTACGTAATACTCGTATTCAAAAAAAAAAAAGATTTAGCAAATGAACCTTATGTATATCAACCCTAATCATCGACTCGTTATGTTAATGGCTCCACATTTTTGGGCTTTTGTCGTTTTATTTAAATTTTTGTGGGATAGTTGGCTGCCTTGTTTTCGTATTATATAACAATATAACACAATGAATTAGATGAATTTTTAAAATTTTTTGTAATTTTATTAGAGCAAGTTAAACGGAATCGACAAAATTGATTAAGCCACTTTGGTTTATTAAAAGAACTCAAAATAACAAAAATAATAACATTAGTTCAAACATCTGGGAATTATTATGTAGGAAAAAACTCCGACCGATTACTGGTGTATTCAATAAAATTTCAAAATTTGAACTGATAAATAACTTTGCTGACAATGCACTTCTTCATAATCAGCAAATTATAGAGTTTATTTATTTAATTATAGAGTTAATCTGTGAGGTACAGCTACTAATCAATAATCGATGAAATACAAGTGTTTGTATTTCATCGAAGTGTGAGCTTCACATGTATAATAAAATTTATTCAATTTCCCTTGTAAAATTACCCAGAATGTATGACTGTATTTTCTTTTTTTTCTCTTAATTCTGAATTTTACAGGTGGATATTACAAAATTTATGATGTAAAATATGAGGTCTTACATATATATACAGGGTGATTCTGAAAGATATACAACAACATATTTCATTGGTTAGAGGATTGAAAAATGGGTAAAACATTTATTCCGGACTGCGTGCCAAATCTCAAGGGTTTCTAAGTTCAAGGGATTTTAACGAATTTTCAAGAAATTTTTACTTATCCAAGTTTTTTGAATTATAACTTCCATTCTGTAAAAAGATAGAAACTTCAAACAAAGAGTTTCTGAAAGGCCTAGTAAAGAGCTTAAAATAAACATGTTGCTTGATTCTGTATTTTATGTATCTTTGGAATACAAAGCATTCGAACTTTAAGCATTTCCCTTGTTTTATTTTTTAAGTTTTTTCTAACTAGATATTTTCGTAAGAAATTTTTTTTAATAGAGTTTTGCATAGCTGCTTAAGCTTTAATTTAAGTCCTCAAACATTAAAAAATTTTTTATGGTACAGAAGATATAGCACAGAAACCATCTCTATGTCAAGATTTTAAAGCCCCTATTTTCCACTATTTTTGATTTTTACTTATTTTAAGCGCTGTAACTAT